TTTTGGCCAGTTTCTTCAAGGAGTGCTGAGCTTTGCAAGCTCATGTGTGACCCCTGCAGGTGTGCGTATTTTAGGCACCGCATGCAGCCTTTCTAAGGGAACACCATGGTACGACCAAGACATTACCAACCTTTCAGCTCTATGCTTTTATGCCAGGCATCGGTGCTTATTAAGAAATTCCAAACAGAATGTTTTTGTCATTTTTTTGTGAAAGCGCACTAGCCAGAGTGATGTGAGTGCTTAAGACCTAAATAGTCTCATTAATATAGGCCCAAGTAGATCAAGAAGCAAAAGCAAGTGTATATGTCTTATATAAAAATGTTTGGCTTCTCTGTAGCCTTCATCACTTTTTATTTGTGAAGTGCTCTTCCTAACTTTCTGTGTGCTTTACCGTACCCTACTGTGCCAAACTGCTCATTTCTCACTGAAATGCTTAAATGTATATACACCTACTTATAGTAAAAACAAGTATTAAATTTGAGCCTTAAGAGAGCAATGAATTGGTTCTAATCTGTGCAATATTTTGGGTCATTTTGGGGAATATTTTGAGTTGGATTCTGGGAGTATCTGCAAATCACGGTTCCTTTGAAAAGAACTTCAAAGCCCCTAATAAAGCAGTGGAATCTGCTCTGGAGATGCAGTGAGTGCTTTTCTTGAACTGGGATGGTGGAGCGTGGCTGGGTGAGACTCGCTGGTCAACACATCTAAGTAGAGGTCTATGTTATAGGGGGAGAAACCCCGAGGTTAGTGTCACACTGGAGAAATAGAATATATTTAGAAATATGTTTATAATTTTAGCAGTTATACCAGTGGCTGACAGTAAATTAATGCAAAGGTTTGTGTTCCTGGGACTGATCATTTAATATTATATATGTTGAAGGGACACTGACATAGCATCAGTCCATCCATTCCACCCACCTTCAGATCATTTTTTCTGGGCTGGGGTGGAACACAGACCAGTCAGTACAGGGCACAAGGGAAGGGAATTCTCCAGTCCATCGTAGGACACATACCCACATAACAGAAGACTCTAATGCAGCTACAGATGAACATGAAAACTCCCAACCCAGTGTCATGGCATGGACATCGGAAAGGAGGGAAGATCCATACGCTGGCTTTTAAATAAACTGAAAGTTACTTCCAGAGCAATATTTATAAAGAAGGAAGAAACAAAATGACTATGAGGGGTCAAAACAAAAGGCAGGGAGATTCAATTAGGAGGGGATAAGACTGACTAAATCACGCATGGTGGGGTAGGGAGAACCGCAACACAAAGCACTATTACTGACACTGACAATCCAAGAGTGGCAACTAACAGGGAGCACCAGCACCAGCACCAGCACCAGCACCAGCACCAGCACCAAAGCACAACAGTAAAAATGAGCAATGGATAACCAGAGAAAAGGGTAAGTACTTATATACTCAGGTGACGAGGTTAAACAAGGAACAGGTGCGAGTAATGAATCACTTAATGAGCACATTAGGACTGGGAATAGGGCAGAAGACGAGATGACCAGCGACATCTGCTGGCCTAACAGGAACATGGCAGACACAGTAGGGACAGATCCTGACACCCAAGGTGGCGTAAGGCCATCATGCTGCCCACATATTATTAATGAATTACCAAAATTATTACCATTGTCATCATCGTCATTAATCTCATCTTGGTATAGTTTAAGAGCTTTTCAGTCTGATTTTAGTAAAAAACAATTGGGCTCTTAAAATGGATTGTACATCTATCTGATAAGATTCCTTTCTCGCCATAATAATACCCACAGTTCACTGTACAGTGTGTCATGTGTGTCCTGGAATATCAGGGAAAGCTGGGTGTCGGCCAGTCTGGCTTACCATACACTCCACTCATACAGGAAGCAGTGAGGAATCATTACGCCAGTATGGCTGAAGGGAGATGTCATTCAAATCAGGTGTTCCCTGATGGCTGGGGCACAGGTTGCATCTGCTGTGATGCTGGCTTGGACCTCATTCAAGAATGGGATGGACCTGTACTTTAGACCAGAGCATTGACAGTGTCGGTACAAGTTAATGCTGCCTCATCTGTTTGCATCTATTGAAGTTAATGCACTTTATCTATTTATATCAGCCACAATTAATGCCACCTCATCTATTTATATCAGCTGCAGTTAATGCCACCTTGCAGGGGTGTAGTTAATGGATAGGGGGGGATAGGGGGGCTGAGCTTTTACTAGGGGGGGGATCAATGGCAAACTATTCATGACTTAAGTCAATAAATACACATTTATTTGGGGGGGTAAAAAATATTTTAAGGGGCTAAAATCCCCTTTATATAGGCCTAAAGATGCCCCTACCACCTTGCCTATTTATAACAACTGCAGTTAATGCCACCTTATATATTTACATCAACTGCAGTTAATGCCAGATCAAGATCCAAAATATAGCAGAACCAATCAACTAGAATCTGTGAATCTAAATTGTACAGTGTCCTCAAAGGACAATGTAAAGCTATACAGTACAGAAACAAAATAAGTTAATGAAACTGCTATGGCACAGGAATAATTCTTACAAAAACTGGTTGCAGATTAATCCTGTAAAACAGGTTGAGCTTGTGTCGTCAGATGTTAAGAAAGGGGGCCAAGGTTCAGGGAGAGGGATCTGCTGTGGAAACCCCTGAACGCGCTTGCTGACGGACAGTCCCCCCAGGGTGAGGTGGGCCCCGCCAGTCGGTATTCCAAAACTTTGGCGTCTGCTTCCAGCGGGCTCCGTCTGCAATCCGTTGCCAGGGCAACACACCGGGCGTTCCACAGGAATTCGTTCCAATAATGGCGGCCCTCAGATCTCGGACAGGCCCGCGATGAATGGCCAGGCGGTTATCACACAGCTGGAGCAAAATCAAACGGTCCCTACGAGGAGGGGACGGCTTCTGAGCGGCGCCCCCAGCAGGGGACATGTGTGCTGCACTCAGCTTCACAAGGGCAAGATTTCTGTTGATAGCCTGGTTTGGGGAAGGAGAAGAGGAATTCGCTTGGGCCCCATGTCCCTTAAACCTCAGTACAGCACAAACATCAGCTGCAGCACTGGTCTCCCTGTAAATGAGAGTTTTCACCTTAAGTTTAAAGGGGAGCTGTTGAATTATCCAGGCTGAATTCAGTCAGCTTGCACAGCAGCATGGGAGAGGAAACACCCCTGGATACTCGAGGAGTGGCTCTTTCCTATAGCAAGGGCTCTGTTACTGTAGCCAAGTATCGGGTGTGACCATGTGCATATCGGGTGTGACCATGTGCATATCGGTTGTGACCATGTGAATTCATACTTTGAGTGGGAACATTCATTTGTGCCCCTGGTTTGAATGCAGCGCCAATTTGTTTTTTAAGAATATACTCGCATGGATAGGTACGCACATATTTTCACACTTGAAGAGGTGATTACATGCACAATCACACATAATCACATAAGCAGCACGCACTGTGGTAAAATTGTGCATATTTGTGTGACAATATATCTGTGTCTTGGTGTTTTAAATGTAGCCTTGGTCTCTCTCAAATCCTCCAAATTGACATTTCCATCTATCTACAGACCCAAAGCCATCACACATATGCACACACACACACACACACACACACACACACACACACACACACACACACACAAATCGGTCTTCCTATCTAAATGAGGGCCGTCCATTCTTTTCTATGGGAAAAACTCTAATCCCAATCATGACACCCTTAACCTCCACCCATCCCTAACCTTAACCATAAGTAACCAACCCAAATACAAGACTTTTGGCATTTTTACTTTTTTGATTGCATTCACAGATTTTTATAAAAC